TCAGTAGGGTAACAGATGTGCTAACAAGAGACCAGATTGATATCGACAGGTGTTAAGACGATTAGAATCTGGAAAGGGATATATGATGTCTTTTGGTTGCGTGGCAACACTGAGTGATGGAATGACCCATTAAATACCGGATGGGAACTCCTCAGTTAGCTGACTCCCCCAAAACTGAAGCCTCTTGTACTATAAACTTTTAGATAGGTGAAGAGCAAAGAGCCCAAAGAGGCTGATGAAGAAACATCATAATTATACCAAACCCGTGACCATCTCTTCGGTTTTCTCTCTTTCACTGAATTCCATATTCTTAATTCTATCTTTAGGCCAGCAGTGTCCTCTCCTTACCCCACCCCCGCCAAAAAACAACCTTTCTGTGGCAATGGAAATGTCCTAGTCTACACAGTGATGCCTAGTGACTCCTGTGCCAGACAAGGCAACTCTAGCAGATGCTGCAGCCTCAGAATGAAGAGGCTAAAACTGTTCTAATTCAGGGGCTTCTATGTAGAAGACCAGGTGACTAAGGTGCAGCTCAGAGAAAGAGTACAACAATGAAGTCAGTGAGATGTGCCTGTGCTGCTGGTTGAAGCAAGCCATGTGGCCACACGGGAGATCAGTCAAGCAGAAATGTAGCATCCTCCTCTAGGTCCATGGCAAGGACACCAGGAATAGGGTGTTGCTCTCTTCTCGACCCATTTCTAACTCCTCCTGTTCTTCTTCTGCCTGTCCTCCTCCTTTTCCTCCTCTCATGTACAAAAAGTTAACTTTGATTTATCCCAGGCAACTCAGACTCCCAAGTTCCCCATTCTGTTCATGGCTGCCTTTCAACCCTCTTCACCTTCAGTCTTCATGACTTTGCAGGCGATTCTTGCAAGCACACATATAGCCCTCCATGGTTTCAACACACACAGAGAATACACATGTATACCCCCATGGCTTCAATATACACATACACACATATGCATACAGTACACACGTGTCCCTCCATAGCTTCAACACTCTCTCTCTCACACACACGCATAGCACATATATATCCTTCCATGGCTTCAACATTCACACACATGCACACACATATTACACATGTATCCCTCCATGTTTCAACACACACACACACACACGGCTTGTGGTAAGGAATACCCCGTGCAGATCCATGCACTATTCCTTGTGTCAGGCTACCTGTGTTAGCTATGCCAGCTGCAGCCTTCTCTCCAGAAGCAGGCTATTTGTCCTCCATTGTGCCAAATCCCCCGCAGCTGTAAGACAGATCTGCCTGTATTGAGAATGAGCAAAACACTAGAGAGGTGTGTCTTACCACACTAATCAGCTCAGACTCAATTAGGCTGTAGCCACAAACCCCTAAACTCCAACTTAGGCCAATAAAGGCACACTTTTCATTCCAGCTGAGGAAGAACCATTCAGCCCCATAAAGAAAACATCACAAAATGATTCTCAAAGTTCTGTGGTTTAAGTCATTTTTGTGTATATTCACTGTCTGAAAACAACACATGAATGATCTTAATCTTCATGGAAAAAGTAGACTCTCTTTTCACGAGGTGGTGAAATTTAGGGGCAATGACAGACCTTACAAAGTACCATATGTTTGCCTCCTGTCTGGTGTTTCCCCCTTTCAATCCTCTTGGATTCTTTACCAAGTTTAGGCAGGATAACGTACTCTCCACAATCTACTCTTTAAGACATACACTACTGAAGCTCCCAGTTCATCTTAGAATCCAAGTCTTTACAAAAGATAGAGGTCAATAATTCAACCTATGTTTCTGGTGTTTGGGTTGCAAGATCGCAAGATAGTCTTGGCATCCTTTGCTTTTTTTTTTTCTTTAACATCATCACTTCCTTACCTGGAGTAGGAAGCGGACAACCCGTCAGCAGCCACCTGAGTGAAAGGAGAGCTCCTAGGAGGATAGAAGCCTTGATTAATAACACATTATTAATCTAGCAGAGTAGCTGTCATTGGTGGGGAAGCAGGAATTTTCCGTTTGGAACTGATGTAGCTTGAGATTGAAGGTAGGCACTGTATCTTTTCTAGGGCATTCACTGTCCACTACAACTTCCTGCAGGGATAGCAATGTCTTACCTCTGTGCTATCCAATACAATAACCCCTGGCCATATGTGGCTATCATAACTGAATGATGAAATTTCAGTTCATTAAACTGAACCATAAGTGGGCTAAGGACTACTACATTGGACAGTATAATTTAAAAAAATATTTTTACTGATTTACTTGAAAGAATTACAGGAGCTGGAGGGAGAGAAACAGAGAGCTCTTGTATCTGCTGATAAACCCTTCAGATGGTCACAATGGCTGGAGCTGTACCAGGCTCAAGCCAGGAAGCCACTAGCTTCTTCTGGATTTTCTATGGGAGCGCAGGGTCACAAGAATTTGAGCCACCATCCATTGATTTCAAGTGGCATTAGCAAGGAGCTGGATTGGAAGTGGGGCAATGAGGACTCAAACCTGTGTCCTTATGGGATGCTGGCAAAGACACAGCTTTACCCACTATCCCACAGCACCAGCCCCTAGACAGGTTAGTTCTTAAAAAATTTTTTTTAACATTGATTTTTATCTGAAAAGCAGATTTACAGAGAGGAGAGACAGACAAAAAGACACACACACACACACACACACACACACACACACACACACACACACAGAGAGAAAGATCTTCCATCAGTTGGTTCACTCCCCAAAAGGCTAAAACTGCCCAAGTTGAATTGATCTAAGGCCAGGAGCCTAGAGCTTCTTTCCAGGTCTCCCACATGGGTGCAGGGAGTCAAGGACTTGGGCCACCATCTGCTGCTTTCTTAGGTTATCAACATGAAGCAGGATCAGAAGTGGAGCAGTGGGGTTCAGACCTGCTCCCATATGGGATGCTGGCACCGTGGGCAGAAGATTAGCCTGTTATGCTACCATGCCCGCCCAACAATATAGCTCAACTATTACTGGAGATAGTGGCACTAGAAGTCATACAGTGCCTTGGATATCTCTCTGTTATTTGTGTGTATAAAAAACCATGATGTCCCAAACCCAGTACTGTAGCCTCATGGCTAACTCTTCACCTTGCATCTGCCAAGATCCCATAGGGGCACCAGTTCGTATCCTGGCTGCTCATCTAGTTCCCACTTCCCATCTAGTTCCCTGCCTATGGCTTGAGAAAACAGTCGAGGACAGCCCAAAACCTTGGGACCTTGCACCCGTGTGGGAGACCCAGAAGCTCCTGGCTCCTGGCTTAAGATTGGCTCAGCTCCAGCTGTTGCAGCCATTTGGAAAGTAAACCAGCAGATGGAAGATCTTTCTCTCGTGTCTCCTGCTCTCTGTATATTTGCCTTTCCAATAAAAAATAAATCTTAAAAAAAAAGAAGCCACTTTGTCCTAGCAAAATATTGAAATGGAAATCATTTCTGTTCGTATAAACGTTGTGTTGTTTATAAACCTCTTGTGATTAGGTAAAAGCAAATAAAGCCATCACTTATTTATTGGCTGGAAGTGCCTGACCTAATAAACAGAGGCTAAACTCACAATTAATTAAAGATTTCATGTTCATTCAGCCAAGACATGCCTCAAACCATCTTTTGTTCAGCTGGCCAGCAAGATACTTAGAGAGCCATATTTAGGACATCTTGTGGCTATAATCAGTGTATGCAAAATATCCCGTTTTGAAAAAGTTCTTTCATTTAGCAGATTAGTCAATTCCTTCTGTTGTGGAACAGGATTTTTCCTCCATGATGGCAACAATCATATTTGGGGTAAACGAATATGACATCATTTACTCTAGAGAAATTTAGACACAATTTGATGACTGGGAACTCCACACCGCTCTCATTCTTCGCTACCAGCCAGCACTTAACCCCTTCGAGAGAAGAGCACATTGGGACCAAAGGCGATACAGCAGATTTCCTGCGCGCATAGGATGGGTGCATCAAAAGAGTTCATGAAAACAACGAAATTCACGGAAAAGTGTGTTACATGAAACCCAGGCATACCTCTTCCATGATACCCATTTTGCATGAACCTTTAAAAGATCGCTGGTTGGCATGGAATTCGATTGGACTTTGCACCAAAAAAAAAAAAAATAGACGTATTTCTCATTCGTTCTTTCTATGTATGTTTGGGGTGCCTTTGCTTAACAGGTATGCATCATTTTAACATAGGACCTCATCGGGTCCAAAGGTTCTATCATCCAACTTGATGAACGGTGATAGAACCAGCTGCAATCCCCTTTCTCCAGCCCGGAGATCTCCAAGCCCCTTTTTAGTCTGGGAGCCAATTGGCGCCAGTGGAATGCTGTTGCGTAGGACCGCCACAGCTCTCTGTTCTTGCAGCTGATGCTTGTTGCCTAAGGCTGAAGGGAGATGCAACCCCAGCTGGGCAAGCAAACTGTTTGCAGCCAGCACAGGCCTGGAGTACGAAGCCACGAGGGAGGTTCAAAACCGCCGTGGAGAATGTACATGATGAAACAAAGAATGCTAGGTTTAACATTTTGGGAATCACCAAAATAGACAAGTTTTAATTCCACTGGCCACGAATTTTCTGTTTCCTGATCTGCCCTATTTCCCCGGCTTGGTGTGTGTTCAAGGTCCTACTTCTCATTCGTAATCTTCCCGCAATCTCTGTGCCCCCTAAGCTTAACTCTAGCCAGGTGGCCTTCTACCATTGGGAGCCATGCACCTGCTAACACTTCTTCCTTCAAATGCAATGGGAGAGTCAGAGGTGCACTTTATTTGTTGCTGTTGCATTCTGGGATTCACTTGGTTATTATTGTTTTTTAAACCGGATAACCTTTTTCTCGCTTGAAGGCTAAAACACAAAGCACCCAGGCGACGCCGCCTTAGACCCTCCACCTCAGCATCCGGCATCCCAACTTTGCACTTTGCACCCAGCCAAGGTGGGCACGGGGCGGGGGAACTACAAATCCCAGCATGCCCGACGCTCCGCGCACAGGCGCGTGAGGAACACCTTCTCCCCTCTTTGGCCAGCCGGCTGGCCAGCCTGCGGAGGCTCCCGGGTCCCCGCGCCTGACTGAGGCTGGGGGCTTGCAGCCCGCACGGGGCGGATCGGGCGGGCGCCCCGGGCGTTTGCCATGAGGGCGCCGCGGCGCGCGTGAGGAGGATGCGGCAGGAGGCGGAGTAGCGGGGGCGCCCTCGGGAGGGAGCCGCCGCGCGCGGGCCAGACGGCGCCCGGAGGCTCCGCAGTGCCGCCGCCGTCGCCGTCGCCCCGGAGGCTCCGCGAGGGAGCCATGTAACCCTGCGGCGGGCTCCGGGCTGCTCCGTCCTTCCCCCAGGCTCGCGGGCCAGCGCGGCGGCGGGGGGCCACGATGAAGAAGCAGTTCAATCGCATGCGCCAGCTGGCCAACCAGACGGTGGGCAGGTAGGTGGCCCCCGCGGGGAGCGCGCGCCAGGTGATGGAGCCCGCGCCCGGCTTCCTGGCCTCCCTGCCTCTCTCCCCGCTGTCCCTGCGCCCCTGAGGGCGAGAACCCTCCTCTCTGAACTTCCCAGACCGCCCGCCTGCTGCTGCTGCTCCGGGCTCCGGTGGTTGCCAAGCGCAGGCTGTGACGCATCCTTCCTTCACCTGCGTCCCCAGCTGCCCCTGCACTCCGTCCTCCCTACCTCTCTCTCCCCGGGACTCCCCTTCTCCCTCCAGCCGCGTAGCTTCCTGGAAACAGGTGTTTGCCTCTGCTCGTGCTGCAGGCAGCCGGACCGCAGGCAGTCTCCGGGGAGCCCTCCGTTTCCACCCTCGCCTTCACCCCCGCTTCCCCGCCCCCTCCTCGTCCTCCCCTGCGCCGAGTTCAGGGCCGCTCCTGGGTAGGCGGGTGGGGTGGACTGGGGAAGTGCCGGGCCTGGTGGCGACCTGTGTGTATTTTTGGAGACTGGGACTGCGGGGGATTCTGGTTCACTTTTCCTTGGCTGGGTTTCTTAAAGGCAATGGGTGGTTGCGAGGGGGTGGGGGTTGAGCGGGGGTAGGTGCTGGGGTGGCATGGAGCTGTGGCTGGCTGGGTGTGAAGAAGCCTGATTTTGGTGGCGAGAGGGAGGCTGCAGAATGGGAGGTCCAACTCCTTTGCAAGATGAGATGAGCGGAGGATCGCAGCCAGGTAGCGGAGGGGGTGGACAGAGGCTGCACAGCCCCGCAAGGGCCTGGCCCCGGGGGAGCTGGCCAGGAGTCGGTGAAAATGGGCTATAGCTGGGCATGCGTCTCCAGGAACGGCTCTGCGGGGTGCCGGCAAATCTGTGAAGGTTACATAAGGATTCCCGGTGGGTCTCTTCCAAAGCGAGACCTTCTGTGAAGGCAGGGTTTTTTGGGGGTGGAAGGGAGGGATAGCCATTTGTCCCTGGCAAAGGAATTCAGGTGTGTGGTGCTAAAGCCCTTTGGGAAGCCAGGAACCCAGCCTCGGGGGCGTCGCCTCGAGTGCAAGCTCAACACCTCGAGGGCTCTCTACTCGGTTTATCAAGGAACCAAATACCTCCCTTGGGTGGGAAGTGATACCTGGGCTGGCACCCGGTGGGGTGGGGGTGGGGCCGTCCCTAGAGAACGGGGGACAGCTCTGCTGCCGTCTAAACACACTGCCCTAGTTACCCCTGGGCATTTGAGGGCAGGGGCTGTGGTGGCTCCCGGTGCTTCCAGGGACTCCAGATGGTTTCCAAGTAGCAAAGTCTAAAATCAACTTGGATCCTTTTTCTCCTTCCCAGGCACTTGTGCCTTACCGTGGGGGAGGGGCGAGGAACTCATGAACCGCCGGGCCGGGTCGACCGGGATTGCTGGCATGGTGATGCCATGGGTGTGGTCCCAGGTGGACTGTGCAGTGGGTGACAAGCAGGCTGACGCTGCAGGCTGATGCATCTTCCATGCTAGAGAGGTCCCTGACACCCTAGGGCATATGGGCAGCTGGTCTTGATCTTGGGGATCCCCTTTCAGAGCCTGGATCTCAGCGTCCGTGGACAGGTGTTTGTACTGCCTTCTCAGTGCCCTAGAACACAGCTGTCCCGCCTTGTCTTAAAAGACTAAGTGATAAGGTGCATCTACTACCTTATCTTTTTATGCTCCTTCGTGGAGGAAGTGAGAACAGGTGAGGGGCGGTTGGATTTTTAGCAGAAGTGGTCTTTCTTCCTCAGAAGCGGAAGCAGCTGGTCAGCCAGAGGTCCTTTCGGACACTGGGAGTGCAGGGGATTCTGCGTTCCGTTGGCCGGGCGATGTTGCTGGGTGGTTGGTGTAGGGATGGGCCCTCTCTATCAGATGGCATAGGTAAGGCAAGGGCCAGATCGGAACTTCTGTGATGCTACCCGGAGCGCCTTGTGAGGCAAAAGGCTTGTGTTGCCTGGCTTACAAGCCTTAGCTGGCGTCTCTGTACCCGTAGGGGTCCTCGGTCCTTCCAGTGACTGCCAACACCTGCTTGGGCTCCTGTGTGTCTCTACGCATCTGTTCTCTCCTCCTTCACTGAGCTGCAGCTGTGTGGCCTGCCTTCCCCTAGGCACCCCCAAACTCATTTCCATCTTGTGGCTGCTGTTGTTGCCAGTCCCCCCGTTTCTCCACCTGCATCTTGCTCCTCTTCTATTCTTCTCCTTGTCATTCAAGTCTTAGCTCAAAGCCTTGAGCTCAACACCCTTTTCATTTCTGTACAGCAGCCATACTGTTTGGAATGCTTTTTGCTTCCTCGTCCATCTGCCTCTGATGGCTCTTTTATGCCCAGTGTAGCTTGTAGATAGTTGGCGCTCAATCAGTGTGGACTGCTAAGGTGAAGCAGTTTAGGGTGCATGAAGATAAGTCAAAGGGGCAATGACCCCTCCATCTTGCTGGGAGTGATGAGCCGTGGTCCTGTGTGTCACAGAAAAGGATCAGAATCTGCTTCCTAATCCCTTTAATATGCAGAAGGACGTCAGATGAAACTTGCACGTTTGAGTGGGATAATAAAACACTTTGTAGTTCCTGGAGAGAGCTACTCCGTTCTGACCCTTGCATGTTTGGGGGCAAGAGTGGCTCTTCTGCAGCTGGCTTGCCTTCGGTCAGTTGCAGCATCTCGACTTCTGAATATGAAGTTGCTCAAGATGGATGCTGCTGTCTGCTGTGGCTTGCATGTGATTCGACTCCTGAACTCTTGGGAGTTGTAGCCACTTTGTGCAGTAGTGTTTGCAGGTGATTGGGTTGAATCATTGTGGTCCCTATACCTTGTAATTAGAGACAGCATGGACACACCACACACACATGGCAATGTGACACTGGTGCTGACTCAGGAATCTGCCAGCAAGCGCTGAACCATGGAAAACAGGAGGCAAAAGAAATCTCTTTACCTTATGAAGTTAGTTGGATATTGTGTTGTCCTTGGGAATCGCTGGCTGATGAGCACGGGAGGGATGCCACAGTTGCCCGGCTTGAACCTAGTCTGTTGGGTCCCTAGTACTTTCTCTTGAAGGGCTCACGTGAAGAAACTCAGTGACTAAGTTAGCAAAACCCATTGTGTTCTACTGGAAAGGATTTTGTCTTTGCTCTGCTGCTCTGGTCTTTGCACACGTTCCCTCTGCTTGGCCTTCACTTTCTCCTTTGGGAAGCACCCTCTGGCCACCCATGGGTCTCATGGACAGCAGGCATGTTAGCGAGGTGGGTCTGATTTCTTGCTCATCGGTTGTGGAACTTGCCTCTCTGTACCTTAGTTTTCTTATCTGCACAATGGGAATGATAAGGGATCCTACTGTGGAGATTATGGTAATGACTTGCGGGTACCTTCAAGGAGTGTCTAGCCTCAGGTTCAACACTGGGACATTCTCAATAAATAGTGGCTGTGAAAATGTTTGACCCAGTATTACCCGTTATTGGATTTTGTACAGCATGGAATGCATGCTTGCGTTCCTTCTATAGGCATTTATAGGCATTTATTGCCGGGTGAATCCAAGCCTTGTTCTCTTGGAATCTGCATTGTAGAGGCACGCTGTGGTTATAGTGGCTCAATTGTGTCATGCTTCTTTTATCTTCCCTACTGTACATGCTTAACAACTTGGGTGCAGGGCAGCTGCCTTCCTGCCTCACACCTAGTAGGTTGTGTGAAGTTCCTTGGCAACTGAATGAGTAAGATGAGGGGAGGCATGTGAAGAATTCAGAGATGGGAAAAGCCTGACAGGGTGCTGCTTGCATTGTGTGTTGAAGGCACGGCCGGAGGAGTAGGGAACAGAGGCACTGACTGGCAGGCGGTGGAGAAAGCCAGCAGATCTCCATGTGTAACTTCCGTCTTAGGGTACTGTCCTTGACCTCTAGGAGGATCCAATCTTTGCTGGGAGGAGAGACATCCTGGGGGGTACAGAGTTGTTTTCTTGGATGTAACATCTGGTTTGTGTGTTGAGTGAAACAAAACTCCAATTGCACGGTCAGCACCCAGGAGATCCACCAAGCCAACAGGAAAATGGAAGAAGGGAACATAGCATCTTGACCCGGTGAGGAGGACTATGTTACAGTCTGCCCAGCAGGGTCCCAGGAGCCCCTACCTTCTTTGGAAAACTGCTGGGAGATTGAAGGGGGCCTGTGCCTCAACAAATGGTTGACGAGGGGCTTTGTTGTCACTGTCATTCCTTGTTCTTCTCTTTGTCATTCAGTCCTCTCAGAACTTCGCCATCCTCCCCACCACCCTGAATTTAAAGTGCTTTGTAGAGGTTGACTCCAGTAGCCTCTGCCTGCAGGTTCTGCACTGTTGCATAAAAATGCATGCAAGTAGGAATGGGAGCTAAGGCTGTGTAGGTGGGAGCAGGGCAGCCTGGGCTGGGTGAGTCCATGGTTTGGAGGCTGTGAGTTGGGGCGAGTGGTAGACAGGGTTTTGTCTGTGGAGCTCCGGCTTCCGTTCCTAGACCACGCTGTGTGTGTGTTGAGCATGCTTGGCTTTTGCTGGAAACATCTCTGGTGCTGTATGGTGCTCAGGATTCAGCCACAGCAGTCTGGATGGCAGCCGGTGGTCTTCAGCGGATTACTGAGGCTACAGCATCCTCCCTGCGGAGCACCTGTCTGCTTGGGCAGGCCCTAACAGACTCCTGCCCAGTGGAGAGAGCTTCTTTTTGAAGGTTTCTCCAGACACTGTCCTTCCCTTCGCTTTGTAAGCAGGCTTCCTGGAAGCCATGACCCAATCAATGCATTGTCAGGACCAAATGCAGATTCTTCTTCAGACTATGAATTGCACTGGCCAGACGAACCCAGGTCCTGACCCCAAGCTGCCTGTTCGCCCCACCAGGCCGGGCATCCCCAAACCTGACCTCCTCTGAGAAGCACCCTGCACTTTGGAAGTTTTCAGGACCAGGTTTTTCATTTTGAGTCTGAGACATAGCAGTGCTGAAGCCACTGATAACTAGGCCCACAAATGTGGGAAGACTGCCCTTTGCCTGGCTTACTGAGCTCTCTAT